ACATTAAGGGCAACATAGAATAAATGGGACCTACTAAAACTGAGAAGCTTCTGTAAAGCAAAGGACACTGTCACTAAGACAAAAAGGCAACCTACTGACTGGGAGAAGATCTTCACCAACCCCGCAACAGACAAAGGTCTGATCTCCAAAATATATAGAGAACTCAGGAAACTAGACTTTAAAATGCTAATTAACCCAATTAAAAAATGGGGCACTGAACTGAACAGAGAATTCTCAACAGAAGAAGTTCAAATGGCCAAAAGACACTTAAGGTCATGCTCAACCTCCTTAGCAATCAGGGAAATGCAAATCAAAACAACTTTGAGATATCATCTTACACCTGTCAGAATGGCTAAAATCAAAAACTCCAATGATAGCCTTTGCTGGAGAGGCTGTGGAGGAAGGGTACCCTCATCCATTGCTGGTGGGAATGCAATCTTGTGCAACCACTTTGGAAATCAGTGTTTCGGTTTCTCAGGAAATTCGGGATCAACCTACCCCTGGACCCAGCAATACCACTCCTGGGAATATACCCAAGAGATGCCCTATCATATGACAAGAGCATTTGTTCAACTATGTTCATAGCAGTATTATTTGTAATAGCCAGAACCTGGAAACAACCTAGATGCCCTTCAATGGAAGAATGGATGAAGAAAGTGTGGAATATATACACATTAGAGTACTACGCTGCGGTAAAAAAAATGACTTCTCGAATTTTGCATGCAAATGGATGGAAATAGAAAACACTATACTGAGTGAGGTAACCCAGACCCAAAGAGATGAACATGGGATGTACTCACTCATAATTGGTTTCTAGCCATAAATAAGGGTCACGGAGTCTACAATTGGTGAACCTAAAGAAGCTAAGTAAGAAGGTGAACCCAAGGAAAAACATATAGTTATCCTCTTGGCTATGGGAAGTAGACAAAATTGCCGGGGAGAAAATTGGGATCTTGGGGGTGGGGTGGGATGGGGGTAAGGGGAGATGGGGAGAGAAAAGGGAGAAGGGGAGGATGGGGGGAACTTGGGGAAAAAGGATAATTGGGATAAAGGAAGGTTGAATAGGGGAGCACGGAAGCACAATTCTTAGTTAAGGGAGCCACCTTTGGGTTGGCAAGAGATTTGAACCTAGAGTGGCTCCCAGGAGCCCAAGGCGATGTCCCCAGTTAGTTCCTTGGGCAGCTGAGGATAGGGAACCTGAAATGACCCTATCCTATAGCAATACTGATGAATACCTTGCATATCACCATAGAACCTTCATCTGGTGATGGATGGAGATAGAGACAGAGACCCACACTGGAGCACTGGACTGAGCTCCCAATGTCCCAATGAGGAGCGGAAGGAGGGAGAAGATAAGCAAGGAAGTCGGGACCACGAGGGGTGCACCTACCCACTGAGACAGTGGGGCTGATCTATTGGGAGCTCACCAAGGCCAGCAGGACTGTGACTGAGAAAGCATGGGATAAAACCGGACTCTCTGAACATGGCGAACAATGAGGGCTGATGAGAAGCCATGGACAATGGCACGGGGTTTTGATCCTACTTAATGTGCTGGCTTTGTGGGAGCCTAGCCAGTTTGGATGTTCACCTTCCTAGATATGGACGGAGGGGGGAGGACCTTGGACTTTCCAAAGGGCAGGGAACCCTGACTGTTCTTTGGACTGGAGAGGGAGGGGGAGAGGAGTAGGGGGAGGGGGAGAAGGGTGGGAGGAGGGGGAGGGAAATGGGAGGCTGGGAGGAGGAAACTTGTTTTTTTCCTTTTCTCAATAAAAAAAAATGTTAGCCCCCCCCCCAAAAAAAAAGAAATGAAGAACAGGCCCCTGGTATTTGGTTAGGGTCCTCTAGAGTCACAGAACTTATGGTCTGAATCTCTCCCTCTCTCTCTACAGATAAGGGAGTGTATTGGAATGACTGACAGGCTGCAGTCCCAACAATGGCTGGCTGTGAGTGCAAAGTCCAAGAATCCAGTAGCTGCTCAGTCCTACAAGTCTGGGTGTCTCAGTGGCCTTCTGGATGTGCTGGCAAGGCAAGGGCAAGCAGGCGAAGAAGGAAAAACCCTTCCCTCTTCCACTGTCCTTATACAGGTTTCCAGCAGGCGTGGCCCAGATTAAAGCTGTGCCTTCCACCCCATGATCCAGATCAAAGGCTCGTTGTCTTCCTGCTTCAAGATCCGGGTCACAAGTGTGCCCTCCATTTCTGGACTGTAGCTCATTGCAGATATGGAAAAGCTGACAACAAAGAAGAGCCATCATACCCCTCAACAGTGAGCATTAACTAACAGTTCTAGACACACTAAGAGATCAGGTGCTTCAATCAGAGGGACAGAGGTATCTTCTCATGATGGCAGCTGGCATTTGAGACAAGTCTTAAAGAAGGCACATTGATCCAGGCAAGAACAGAACAAAAGAATCCCCAAGAAAACACCAAGAAACACAGGATCCATGCAGTGAGAAGTTAACAAGGTGGACACAGGAAGTACATCACCTGATATGAACAACAGTGACATAAAAGTTTGGCAAGGGAGTTGGGCGGTGGTGGTGCACTTTTAATCCCAGCACTCGGGTGGCAGAGGTAAATGGATCTCTGTGAGTTCGAGGCCAGCCTGATCTACAGAGAGAGTTCCAGGACAGTTAGGGCTGTTACACAGAGAAACCTTGTTTCGAAAAGCCAAAACCAAGCCAAACCAAATAAACAAAATGGTATAAATAAAAAAGGCTGGAGAGATGGCTCAAAGGTTGGGAGCACTGGCTGCTCTTCCAAAGGTCCTGACTTCAATTCCCAGTAACTACATGGTGACTCACAACCGTCTGTAATGAGATCTGGTGCCCTCTTCTGGCCTGCAGACACATATGCAAGAAGTACACTGTATACATAATAAATAAATCTTTAAAATAAAAGAAAAACAAAAAAAGATTGGCAAGGAAGAATTAAACCATACAGTAAGGGGTCTCAATGCCAGGCCAGTATCAGGTTATGAGTTCTTTCTTTTCTCTCCCCCTTTACCTTTCCCGCCTTTTTTTTTTTTTTTTAAGGCAGGTCTCCTCTGTGCCAGGCCACTATGTAGCCATGGCTGACCTGGAACTATGTAGACCAGGCTGGCCTCAGACTTAGAGATCTGCCTGCTTCTGCCTATTAGGTACTGGGATTAAAAGGGATTTTTTGGGGTTTTTTTTTTTTTTTTTTTTGGTTTTTCGAGACAGGGTTTTTCTGTGTAGCCCTAGCTGTCCTGTAACTAGATCTGTAGATCAGGCTGGATTCGAACTCACAGAGATCTACCTGCCTCTGCTTCCTGAGTGCTGGTATTAAAGGCAAGGCTGTGATTCTTGAGTTGGAGGATGACTGATAAAATTATAGAACTGCTTTTCTAAGGGACTTACTACTACAACTGCTCAAGAGACACCGTGGAATTGATCTAAAGGAGCACTGTCTCCAAAATACCCCAAGAAAAGTAGTGTGCTAACCAGGCCTGTTAGAGACAAGGTAAAGTTAGGGCGCTAGGATGTAAATGTTTACTCACCAGAGTTGACCAGTCATTAGGCCGATTCCCATACTAAAGACCTATCTCTACTGGACAGCTTTATGGGGAGGAGGCAGAGTTAAACTAGAAAAGGCCAATTATTAGATAGTGATTCATTTAGTGATTTATTTAAAAAACTGCTTGTAGCCTGTCTGCCAAGACTTCCCTTGTTACTTGGGACAGAATGACCTGGAGGTATAGCTAACACAATAGGCTGCTGCCCTTAAACAGCTGACTGCCACCTATACCGCTATATATGGCTGCTTGCTTTTTTGCCCCAACTTGTGGTTTAAGAGCACAAACTGAGGACACAAATTGGACCAGATATTAAAAGCCTTTCAGGACCTAACCTGGCTTTCTTCCACCAGTGACATCTCTTCTTTTCCACTCTCATTGGGATCAGAGTGCTTACACAAGAAAGATTTCCACAACAGGGTCATGACCATCACTAAGTCCAGGTCTGCCATAAAGCTCCCTGTGCTCTTACAGGAAAAACAACTCTGCCAGATAGGCACGGTGACCCTGGGTAACAATTATTTGAAAAAGAGCAACACTGGTGTACTTAAATAATGCTGGTAATACGTAATATCTTTACTGTGTAAATCTATCTGCCTTAAGCTAAACCAGACTTGCAGCCTCCTGTCTCTGTTTTAACTGTTCAAAGTGTAACCTGGGGCCATGACCCAAAAGAGACTTACGGCTGGCAGTGTCCATGGAATGCATAAGCCTAAGGTGCTTATGAGCCAGTGCAATCTTCTACTGGGAGCTGACTGCTATTTGGGCATTAAACCAGTTGACCAGGTGCTTAGGTAGAGTGCTTTCCTTCGCCTCAGTGTGCGGAGTAATTTCTCACTGAGAAAGCATATTACTTCTATGACATGATGTGCCTTTTGCTGACAGGCTTTGTTAGAAGCCAGTGTGAATGTGCATGGGGTGCTGCCCTTCCACCTATCCTCGAGTTGAGACCTGTGGATAGAATGAATGCTATTATTCATGGAGCTTTATATTCATCAGGGTGCTTAAGGACAGATCCGCGGATAAACAAAAATGTACAAACTATGGCCTCTCCATAAGTCTTTAGGAGCTTCTACGGGGCCACAAGAAATCCCTAAGTGCCACGTTACTAAAGAATACTTGGGTAAGGGAAGGAAGGGTAATGCTACTTCCCAGTTTATACTTAGCAGCACACTAGCCAAGTCTTGATAGACACCTACACCCTTAGCCACCACCGAAGGCCGAAGGCTGACACTCCCCTTCAGAAAGGGCTCACTCCCAAGGTCATGTTTGCACTCCCACGGCTGTTTGCATCCCCAGTGCTGGAAACTCATGAGTTCTAGAGTTGTCCCATGCCAACACTGTTTTAAAAAGGTTAAGAATGGGGTTGGCTCACACTACCCTTCCAATGTGTATGGACCACACAGATTGCCTGGTTCCGTTCCCTCCCCGCAGAAGGCCAGGGCAGAGACAGGTCCTACACACTCACCTGGACAGTCGGCTTCATCACTCTTATCCTCACACGTTGGCCAGCCATCACATTGCCAGGGGAGGGGTATGCACTGGATGGTACCACTGTGACACTGAAACTGCCCAGGGTTGCACCGAAGCTCTGTGGACAAAAGGGCAAGAGGCTGTTGAGGAAGTGGCACAGAAGCAGAAACCTAGGACAGAACTCTATCCACGTCAAGGTAGCCCTGGGACAAGTAGTCCAGATGCTGAGCAGCTGCCCCAATCTGCTTCCTCGGGGGATCTGAACACATGGTCCCGAAGTTGAGGGAAGAGAATGGTTAGTCCTGCATCAGAACATACAGCACACCTCCCTCCCAGGAATACTGAAATGGTATCTCAATGCAAGGTGAAAGACAACACCCTCTTTAGCCAGGGAATACTGGAATACTTTTCCAAGAAGATGGGACTAGGAATAGGAAGGTGATGCTTTGGTAAGTCATGTGACATCACAGTAACCACACTCCAGGAAAATAAGGGCTCACAAGAAGGCACACTGAGATGACTGTGTGAACGAATGGGAGTCACTCAAGTAACTGAAAATCCAGACTTCGGAGGATGCAAGGCTAATAGATTTCTGACCTTTATCTGGCATGCTGCAAACAGCTAAAAGCAGTAATGAGAAGATGTGTTTGAATAAGGTAACGCTGACAGTGGTTTCTGACAAGATAAACTAATACAGCAAAACACAGGTTTCAATAGAAGTTAGAAGCCTACACACTACAGCCAAGTGCTGAATTCTTCCCTTCTTGTTGATTTTCACTTTACTCCCCGTCTTTTTTTTTTTTTTAAACTTCAGAGACAGACTGTCACTGTGCAGCCTGGGCTAGCCTTTGGGCACATACCAGCAAACTGGCCATCTGTTCTTGACCTGGGCTCATAGCTCAGGGCAAGTACTCTACACTTTAAAAACAGCTAACTAGAGAGCTAGCTTTGTCTCCAGCCTGACTCACTTTCATATAGGCTGTTTGCTTATTTACTATTTGGACTAAATCCCTAGCACCAAAGAGCACACACAGTACGACTGACCTACATCCCTGGGCTTATGGACAGCTCTCTCTCTCCTCTCCCCACCTCTGTGTTTGGACACACATGCCAGGGCCACCCTCAGGTTTGTGTTCCTCCTTCAGGCACTGTCCAATTTGTTTTTGGAAACAGAGTTTCTCATTGGCCTGAGATGACTGATTAGTGCTAGACTGGCTAGCCAGCAAGCTCCAGGGTTGCCTGTTTCTGCCTCCCCAGCAATTAGGAGAAGTGAGTGCTCTTGCAGAGGACCTGGTTGTGATTTCTGACACCCACATAGTACTTAAAATTATCTGTAACCCCAGTTAGAGAGGATCCGATGCCCTCTTCTGGCCTCCATGGACACCAGCATACATGTGGTACAAACATGCATGCAGACAAAACATTCATGCATATAAGATAACAAAAATGTTTTGAAAAACCTCAACTATGCACAAATGCTTCCCAGTTTACATTATGGGACAGTAGACTAGGTGGTCTACATTCAGCTAACCGTGGACAGTCAGGATGTAGCAGATCCCAAAACTGAACAATAGCAGTGTATACCGCTTCCAGTCAGTCATGATGTAACAATAGACAAACAATATTCTAGCACACCATGCTGCTGAACCACGGTGCTTGGCAGGTTGGGGATATTAAATGTACTTTCCAATTATGTATCTTTAAGTCACTATAGCTTTACTGGGACATATCCAATCAGAAGTCAAGGAGGGTCTATGTTACCATAAGCTAATTTTATATACAGATATACATTGTATATATAGTGGAGATGGCTAGATGCAGTATGTTTTCCATGTCCATTTTCTGCTCCTATCACAGAATTTACCACAGAGTAAGTAAATTACAAACAACAGTTTAGGGATTGAGGCAAGATGCAGCACAGAGCAATGAAAATCTGTGCGCTTATTTTACAGGCAGGCTTTCTTCCCAGTATCTTTTCCCATATCATTTGGTGAGGATCGTGATCCACCACTGCAGCAGCAGTGAAAAGGCTGTGAGCAAACACAACTATCTGGAAGCAGATATTCCAGTCCAAAGCGTAGTGCTACCTTTTGTCTGTCCTAAGTCTACATACCCTTTCCTTTCAGAAGACTGCAACTGCAGAGCAGAGCATGCTCTGACATCTGACAACAGGACAGTGTGCTACCACCTTCTGTAACAGTCCACACAGACACATAAAACCTATCCCTCAACCAAATCCTTTGCATAATAATGAAAAAAATGAACATAAGAACAAGTGCCAAAACCCAAATTTGAAGAAAAAAGAGAAGTCCTTGAACATGGACCAGAACAACGCAGCAGAGGGTCCTTCGCTACTAAGCTGTGCTGGGGCCCTCACAGTGTCCCAGATGTTCTGAGTCTACGGAGTATCAAGAAAATGTTGCCCTGTGTTTCATTTGTCAACTTAGAAAATGCAACCTGGTATATTTACTACATGCTATTAGGAAAATAATACAAATATCTTTTCATATTAAAACCAACAGTTTAATCAGCCACACTTCTGGGGACTGGAATGCCCACTGTCAGGTCTTGCACACAGTGAGTACCTTCCTGTTGCCTCAGTAAAAGCAGCCCATGGTAAAGAGATGTGAGGAAGGGAATCCCAGTCTCCTGAGCAAGGAAATAAAAAGCTTACAGCTGAAAAAAAACTTCAGCATTTGGCAAAACCCTTTATAAGGGCTAGGGTATATCACTCATGGGGCTGAGTGTTGAAGTATTTCCCTAGGACTTAGGAGGTTTTCAGTATGACCCTCAGCACCTCAAAAGAAACAAAAAACCAGGTGTATCCAACTGAGGCCCACAGACCACATGCACCCCAGGACAACTGTGAACACAGCTCAACACATCAGCAGACCACAATGTCAAATAGTCGGTGCTCCTGCTTTACACAAGGGCAAGTCGAGGCTCAAGTGTTTTCACTAGAAAAAGTCCACTAACTCTTTAAAGAAGAACTAATATCAGGGCTGGGGAGACAGATCACTTGCTAAAGTATGTTTTGCTCTTTTACAGGACTCACATTTGGTACACAGTATCCACGCTGAGGTGGCTCACAACTTTGTGACATCAGCTGCCAGGAATACAGTGCCCCGTTCTGGCCTCTGAGGGCACACATACCTAAATGGCATACATACACATTTAAGTAAACATAAAACTAAAAATTTGTTTCTTTCTGGTTTTTTGAAACAGGGTTTCTATGTGTAACAGCTCTGGCTGTCCTGGAACTTGCTCTGTAGACCAGGCTGGCCTCGAACCCAGAGAGATCCGCCTGCCTCTGTCTCCTAAGTGTTTGGATTAAAGGCCACCACTATAAAACTAAATCTTAAGGAGGCGGATCTCTGTGGGTTAAGAGGCCAGCTTGGTCTACAGAGCAAGTTCCAGGACAGTCAGAGCTGTTATACATAGAAACCCTGTTTCAAAAAAAGTCAACTCTTCCAGAAATTCAGAGTTAAGAAAGTCACCCAAAACAACAGCATTACAAAACAAATATAAGTTGGACATGGTGGTACATGCCTGTAATTCTAGAACTTTGGAGGCTGAGGCAGTACTAAATTCACAGTCAGCCTTAGCTATATGGTAAGACTGTCTCAATAAATAATAATAAATAAACTGAAAAAAATGGCAAAAGAAAAATAAGTGATAAATCTAACAAAAGACGTTTAAATCCTGTTGGTGAAAATAGAAAAATATGGCTGAAAAATATATTTAAAAGATCTAAACCTATGGAAAATGAATTCAAAAGGTTAAGATCTCAGTTTACCCAAATTCAATGCTACCAATAATATCCACCAGACTTGATTGTAGAAACTGCCAAATTGACTCTAAAATTTGTGGAAATGCAAAGAATTTAGAGCAGCAAAAACATTCCAGGATCTAGCAGAAAAGAACAACCAACAACCCAGCATGGCAGGAAACCAAGACAGGGTGGCGTAGGTATCAAGAGGTTATCACAGAGCCCCATGGAAGCACGCCTTTAATCTGTCTCTTGGGAGGAAGAGGCAGGTGGATCTCTGTGAGTTTCAACAACTGGACATGGGATGATTGGTTCCCACTAAGAAAACTCTGTGCTCTGCTCCTTGTACCAGTAAGAAAAAGTAACTCAAAAATACATTGAAGGCCTAGATAAATGCAAAGCTCCAAATTATCAAAATTTGAGCAGAAACCATGGGAAAAGTTTGTAACTTTGGTTCAGGCAGATTGTGACGATCTATGCTGAGTCACAAAATAAAAAGCAGATAAGCTGGACTTCACTAAATTTTATAACTCTTTCTTTTGTGACAGGGTCTCACTTCGTAGCTGTGGCTAGCCTAGAACTTGCTCACAGAGATCTGTCTACCCCTGCTTCTGCCTCAACTGCTGGGATTAAAAGTGTATGTCAGGAGCTGATGATATGGGTCAGCAGCTACTCTACTCTAGAGAGTTTATTACTCTATCAGAGGAAGAGTTCAGTGCCCAGCACTCATATCAGGAAGCTCAAAAATACCTAGAACTCCAGCTCCAAGGAATCTCATGACCCTTGCTGGCCTCCAGGGGCACATTCACAGGTACACACAGACACACACAAACACACCCAAGGAATCTCATGACCCTTGCTCGCCTCCAGGGGCACATCCACAGGTACACACAGACACAGACACACACAAACACACCCAAGGAATCTCATGACCCTTTCTGGCCTCCAGTGGCACATCCACAGACACACACATCCACAGACACACACAGCCAAGGGATCTCATGACCTTTGGTGGCCTCCAGGGGCACATCCACATACCCACAGCTACACATACAGACACATAGACACAGACAGACAGACAGACACACACACACATGTATATACAAACAAATAAAATAAATGTTTAGGAGCTGGAGAGAGAGTTTCAGGTTAAGAGCACTGGCTGCTCTTTCAGAGGACGTAGGCTTGATAACCAGTACCCACATGGTGGCTCATAACTGCCTGTAACTCCAATCCCAGGGCAATTTTTTTGTTTGTTTGTTTTTGTTTTTTCGAGACAGGGTTTCTCTGTAGCTTTGGAGCCTGTCCTGGAACTAGCTCTTGTAGACCAGACTAGCCACAAACTCACA